ATTTTAGTCGACTGTCAGAAACTCTCAATGGCTACCCAAACAGACAAAAACATTAAAAAGAAATCATAATGTAAAAACAATCATTTCATCCATGGTATAGAATTTTGACAGTTTCTACGTTAGAAATTCTCAGTCATTTTAATATCTATGTATTGTACATGTTTTTTTACTTTGAATCAAAAACTGCGATTAGCATCCGAAAAAATTCAAAATTTTCATGTACTTGCACATCTGTTTTTTGTGAATTCTTCTAGCTGATAAACGGAATCCGCGATCAGTATCTCGAAGTGTTCAAATTTTTTTATGGGTTTACACTTGTCTTTAGTTTTTCTCTATGTAAATGCTTTTTCTTATATGTTTTTATTTTATGAATTTTTTGTCCATGTAAACAACTTTTATAATAATAGTTGATACGTCAATAGAGTTGTCTTTTTGTCTATTAAATGACCCACAAACCTCTCTAACAATCTGCCTAATAACTTAATTATCTATCGACCTTTCTAGATAACTACACATATAACTATTTATCTGACTGTATATCTGCTTACCTAATTTCCTATCTAAGTATATGCCTAATTACCTACCTAATTGTCCATCTATCTACCTACTTAACTATCAAAAGCGGATTTAGTAGGTGAAAAATCAGCAAGTTAATTAACAGATCTTAAGGGGAGTAATAAAGTCAAGGAGAAATTTTTAAATTTACTCATTTATAGAAATGCTGAATAATATTGAAAAACATATTCTCCATTAAAACAAATCGTGATGAGTCAGTCATATGCTATACAAAAGTATAGTGCTTAAACCATTCTTGTAATGAATATTTGTTTGATACTCAACGAATACAATATAGCAAAAAAGTTGTTATCCTAATGCACTGTGGAAGTAAATTGTAAAAAAACGATAAAGATACTTGTGTTTTTAGATAGAAAAATGATTTCATCAAATAACTTCTATTAGTCTTATGTATTTATAGTGTGGTTTATATTATTTCAAGGAATCCTCCTCAGAAAATCCATTGTTTCGAATTGTAATCGAAGTCGAGTTTCAATCAAAGGAAGAAGTAGTGAAGTTTCTTCTTTCCGAATATGAAGAAGTTTTCCAAAAAAAAATAAATTTTAACAAACTTTCGTAGGAGATTTCAACTCTAATATTCTGTTTTCCGAGAGATTTTATTTTTATTTTTATTTTTGGGAAGATTCCTTCTTTTATTTGCATTATCATAGAATAAAAGTTCTTGTATATTCTAAACATGAACCGTCATGCTAGCTTACGTCATCTGTAGCTCGCATTTAAAACTTCCACATAAATATTATGAATATGTATTATTTTCTGGATGGAATGAAACTATTCATCTCTAAACTTATTTATCATTTTTCTCAGAACATGATTTTTGATCAGAAAAACTAAAATAACTTCAACGTAGTTGAAGATATAAACAATATTTTTTTAAAACATCTAATTCCGAGTAATTTTTTTCCAATCAAATTTTTGATAGTTGATTTTTGTGTTCAGCGAAGCAAGATAAGATTTAGTGTTTTGAAGTGACTTTTTTTGTTTGTCTTCATACTATATGTTATAAATTGATCATAAAGCTGTAGCGAAAGAGAATTTCAAAATTCTGGTCGGATAAAAAACTGCGCATAAGCATCGGCCATAATTTGATACCACCCCGAGCTCTATACATCTGTCAATGACTAAATTATGACGATTCTTCTGAAGCTCGTAGATAGACTATAGATAAGCTGGAACTTAGCTCTACTTTGACGTATCGAGCTGATTTTTTACCAGAAATGTTTCTCACTAAAGTCACTCATTTGTGAAATATTTCAGCTTAAATGAACCATTCTAAGTGGAAAATCTATTATGAAAGAGGGGAGGCTTAAGTATTATACACTTGGTCTTTAATAAAAACAGATTCAGATAATGAACTCAATCGAGTTAAATATATAATTTAAAGTTGACTTGTATTTTTTGGCTAAATTTTTATCTTTATGTTGGGAGTTGGAAGTTTTTCCCTTCGATTTCAACACTAGTTTTAAATCACATTCTACAAAAGAGGAAGGAGAAAAGGCTTTTAATCAGAGATGGAATTAACTACTTACTTGCCTATTCTATCATAGTTAAAAAATATGAAATGAGAAAATATATTCTGCTCCATTCTATAAAAAAAATGTTTGACTTTGTCAAGTGTGTGTTATACCTGCATCACTGCTATCGGACTTTTTTTTATTCTTCCTTCTATTCTTGATTGTCACGAACGTAATGAAAAGAAAAAATTTAGTCACGTATGAGAATAGTTATGCGTATGAGAAAGCTTCCATGTAATACGATTGTTGAGAAGAAAAATAAATCAAAATAGGAATAAAATATAAAGGATGCAGACAGAAAGTTAGAGACTATAAGATGACCGTGGAAGCTTATAGAAATCAATATTGACTACTATCGATAGATGACATGTTTGTAATTTTACCTTGCAATTTTCATAACTTAAATAAATCTATGATATTGAAATAAATAAGATTACATGAAAAAATAATATTACTTTGCTTCTTTTTCATATAATTTCTTCTTAGAGGAATAAGTTAACGAATAATTGACATAGTTAAGAATTTATATGTAGAGAATAGAGAATCATTCATTTTGCTTTTTTATTTTCAGTTAATTCTTTTAAGTAAAATAAGATGCTTAAGATCAAGTATTCGATTTATATAGTTCTGTTGAACTAAAAATGTTTTATTGTATTGAATATACGAACAAATAATTTTATTTATTTATTTTTCAATAGAAAATCATAGTTATAAATTTTGAAATATTTAGTTCAAATGAATAACTAAATTATATAATCAACAAAATTAACTTGAATTCATCATTTAAAGCAGAATTTTATTTCTCTTTTATCATCAAAGTTGAGTCTCCTCAAAATGAGTAATGATTCGGTACTTGATTAACATTTAAAATAAAAGAATAATGTTTTAAAATATAGAATAGATCGATTTTTAATTGTGAACGACAATTTTTTTATTTCAAATTTATGAGCAAATGTTAGAAGAAGTCAAAATTAAATTTTTTTTAGCTATTTTAGATATTTGGTTGCCCTTTAAATATTGACTCTTTTCGAACTTTAATTTGTTTAATTGCATATCACATACTTATTTATGTTATCATCAAAATTCGATTAAAATTGATTAACTATGATGCTAATATATAATCATTTAAAGAACCAAACATCACATTCATTCAAGCAACTATAAGTAAACGAATGATAAGTAAATCTATTCATTACTATATTTCAGTTTCAAATTTTTCAACGTTCGCAGGATTTTTTTTCGTCCTTGGACGTTATAAAAATAAGATTTTGTACGTGCAACGGCTTGTCCATAAACTACTGTCAGTTACAAACGGTATAAACGCAGAACTTCGGAGGTTTGAAAATTAAAGTTCTTAATAACGATCATGAAAGTCGTTTGTTTTTGCCATTAAAATCCTTAAATGCAAAACGAAATAAATATGAACAATTCTTCTCTGAATTTGATCATTTAAACACATCAGATTATTAACAAAAAAAAACGAATGAAAATTTTAGTTTTGGAAGGCACTTATTATTATCTGATTTTGACTATTGAAAAACTTAAATATTGAATATAAATAACGATAGAAATATGTCTATCGAGAAGTGATCCAAATATTTATTTTTCAAGTGCTAATACGATTACCAATTATCACTTCGCTCATTACAGTAAAAATGCTGTAAAAAAACATGTCATTTTTAGACTTTCATGTTTTTAATACGCACATGATAGAAAATGATATTTAAATTTTGTGAACTGCTATATCATGCAATTATGGCAATATCTAGTTATCAAAAAATCTTAAAATATGAAGCTTAGTATAAAAATCAAACTTTGTACTTTATTTTCTTTGTCTATCGATAGTAGTAGACTTAGAATAATAAACAAACTTTTCAATTATGTTAAATAATAATTTCAAATACAAAAACATCAAACTAGTCAATTCTTATAAAGATATTATATCTTTATTGTAGAAAACTAGGCACAACAAAACAAATGTTGTTCAACATCACTTATTATGAGTTATTAGATGAAAAATTTTGAAAGAGTTCTTCCTTTGTCATTGATATTAACATATATGGAATGCGATAGACTAAAATTAAACTTGTTACTGTTAGAAACTTCAATAGTTAAATTAGTTTCACATTATTTGTATTCATTTAGCTGTACAAATAAACTTTTTCTCGAAAGAACTACGTAGTAAGTTAATTGATGAATTTAAACGTATTGGTTTTTCGCCCATTTTCTGTTGATCAGTATGTGAGTGTCGACAGAAGATCTAATCTCATTCACTGCCGAATCCATACTCAACAATCTTAAAAGTCGTATTCACGAGAAAAACTACTTTCAATCACTAAAAGCAAACACTTTTATCACTCAATGATTTCATATACTTTTGATCACCAACTTTGCCTGAGTTGTGATTTTTCATAATGTCTTATTGGGTACTTCTACACAATACATACAGCTCCTCCTCCACATTCAACACTTTGTTTCTAAAGATCAAACAGATCCATATATGATCAAAACAATTGCAAGGTCATGATATTTTTTGATTAAGATGTCTGGATCTGTAGAAAAAGTACATATCCATTTTCATACGTAAAAGTATCAACTTCCAATACAAACTGGATTCTAGTATGTGTAATCAATAAATAGACTTGACAATCCAAAAGCTATTGTTAAATCGCGCGATTTGTGTCAATATCAAATAAGTAATCTGAAAGATCATACAAAATATTCATTTAAATTTTTATAGATATCGTAAATATCATTTAGTATATACCAAGTGACCGATAAATATATATATATACAATAAACCAGCCATTAAATCTTTATACTTATCATTTCGTCTATTTAACTGATTCCTTAAGTCACAACCTTTACAAAAAATAGAAATTCCTACAAAAAAAAAATAAAACAGCAAAATTACATTAAAATAATTATTTTATAAATGAAAATAGTAGCATATGCCATCAAGACATCTGCAGTTTTTTCTTCAAAGTCATAATCTCGTTTATCACGTGATAAATTACTTTTTTCGCATGCTGCTATGCGTAATGATCCAACTTCAAGTATTTCGTTTAATATAAGATCTTCAAATGATGGAATAACCATGATTAATTTCTAAAGGCATATAATAAGGTCATATCACATATTCAATCAATGAAGAATTTTAATAAGTATTATAATTGTCAGACTTTTTGTTTCCCTTGCTAGAAAAAAATATTTTATTATAAAACACAAAATATCTAGATATACACAAAGTACGAAGGCTATAGGTGTCATAATACCGTTACCCTGGGTACCGGCAGCTAAACGTCAGGATCCCAGCAGAGTAATCAAGTGAATTCAGTTTCATACCACACAACTAACGAAGAGGAGTAATGACTTCATCACCCATACGCAAACTATACCTCTTTAAGCTTGATAAATGTGAGTGGATTTGGTGTAACGACGTCATTACACTAGGGGTAATACAGCAAATCCACTCAAAACTACTCAAAACCCTCAACTTTTAAAAAATATAGTTTTCTTACGGGTAATGAATTCATCACCCTTTAAATAAATTACATACCTTTAAAATTGAGGAATTTGAGCGGATTTAGCGTATTACCCTAAGTCTAATGACGCATCTCATCGCAACGGATAATTATATATTCTAAGTAATAATACTCGGGGTAATACACTAAAACCACTCAAATTCCTCAACTTTTAGAATATGCAGTTTGTTTTTTTAGATGAATAATGTCATTACCCTTAGGGTAATATCCCGAAGAGAAGCAATTTTTCTGATGGTGCGAAGATGTATTGTGGTACTGAAAGAGATGAAGTGATTACTCCTTGAACTGGTAGCCATTCGCTACAAGTGAATATGCTTCAGTTGAATACCCTATTAGTTTTCGTTTTGTGGAAATGTAGATAGCTGGTGTAACGGGATTATGACATCAGTCTTGACGTGTCTAAATCTATTCGGGTATATTGATATTAACTGTATAATCAGATGCCTAGTTTGAGCAAGAGCGTCACTTAAGAGTTGCATTGTAACTCTACGTCTGATCAAATATAATTCATTTTAAACGAGAAGTCCAAATAAACTCGTATTTTGGTAGCCGACATTAGCAAATGACATTATCGGTTGATCTGTTAGTGACTATACGGAACTTTATCAGAGTTTTTAATGTGCATGATGCGTTTTCATGCTAGCATCGCGGATGTGGTTTTTCGGTGAGTCTCTCAGTAAATTGCATGTAATCTCCTTTCTCGGAGCATGTGGATAGTGCTGCCTTTACGTATATGTTTCATTTAGATATCCGTTGGTTATTATTTTGTGGGTATCGGTTTGATTGAATGAATTGATGAGAAAAAGTGTTACATGGACACACATAGTATTGCGCACAACGACACTGATGTTGAATATAAATATCCAAACACATAGGCTAACTGATGTAAACATTGGATGCTAGTTTTGTCGAGTGCTGTAGAACAGTATATTATACCGAAATAGTCAAATATTTAGTCGAGGGTCAAACGAGTCGCATAGATGACCTGTACTTGTTATATATTGTTTTGCCTAGTACTTTATCATTTCATTCTACTTATACAAGATTATATACATATTTTAATGCCTGTCATATTCACAAAGAACAATGGTTTCATCTCAGATCTGCATGATTTGCACGCGCTGCATATTCACGCATGAAGACTTCATTGCCACTTCACTTATCCGGATCAAACAACAACGTAATATATTTATCTGTGAAATCGATTGCTAGTACTACTAGCTGATGTTTAATTATTTAATAATTTTTTCGTATGTTTTTTAGAATAATTTATTAGTGAATACGATGCCTAATACTTACGGAGCGAATAATTTCATTATGGATTGTATAATGAATGTATCCAATAAAAATAAGAAGAACAAATATTTTATTAAATGTAGTATGTCATCAGAAAATGATGAACTTATTGATGATTCAATATTTAATTCAATCGATAGTATTCTGACTACACCATTTGTTTTCCTATTATCTAATCCCTTAACTAATAAAACTGGTATCAAATCATGCATGGAGTACACTCAAAAAAAAAATAATCAAGAGTGAAATAATTTCTATAGCATTGACTTCTTCATAAAACATTAATCAACAAAAGCAAATCAGTTATTTTTCTCGTTAAGGTTATTTTTGATCTATACATCGGTCTCTAGCGTAATTGTGGATGATCTGGAAGATACCGTCTTATAGGAACGTTTAAGGGAAAATGATTCAGGTAGCGTAAAAATCGTTCGTCTGTTCGTCTCGATAGTTCCTATAATGAAGGAGTGTAACGCACTATAACGTTATCTGTCTATAGAAGGTAACCATCAAGGGCGATCTTCTAGACACAATATGTTCTCTAGAATTTATACGAACTACAATTTTTGAAAAAAATATGAGCTGACGTCTTTCCTCTCAATCTTTGAGCCACTATACCTCTTGGCTAACTAAACGTTCACAGAAGAATCCGAGTATGTACAAAAGTTTGTCCATAGACTAATAGTAGATAGACATCGAAGAAAAAGTATATCGATCCAATCCTAAGGTGAAGTCCAGATCAGTTATAAAGACATTTATCGAAGTCACTTTTCAAGTAAATAATAATCTTGGGTCCGAATCAAGCTGCTGAATCATTCTATTACTTCTTAGCATATCTGTTTTAGAAAACGGTAGGAAATAGATACTATAGTATATGGCATCATGTGTGCGTGAATAACGCCGTTTTTCTGTCTCGTTTTCATTTATGCATTGGTGTAGACGTTTACATTGAGATGAGTACATGAAATGCGAGGGAAGCATTGTCGAAATAGGATAACTATAATAATTGTAGAGAATAGTTGAACGATTATAATTGAATAAAAAACCAATAAAAGACCTAAAATGCAAAGCCTACACTTCTGCATTTTGGATTCATCATTCAATCTGCGGACAGTCTTCGGTAACAAGCCGTACTGCTCGTATTATGATAATCGCTTGTCCTAGCCTGTTATACACACTGATGAATTCATTTTTACCCAATATACATCACTAGACCATGATTGAAAAGCGTATGCTGCATCAAGTTACACACAAATATCTTGCGTAGTAATATAAGTTTGTTTTCTGAAGAAATCTAGAACGATCTCGGCTCGATTCTTGTATCGACGAACATATTGCCATTCCATTTGAATAACAGGAATGTCGAATTGCTCGAATATTGTATGACCTGTCTGGCAAAGAAGATGCTCCGAACCTTCGATGTCAACTTTCATTATAGCACTGCGTACGTGATTCTTCTGTAAAACAGGAAGAATATCATCGAATCGAATTGTTTTAGCAATGAACGGATCATTTAAGGATTGATTGATCGAGAGGATACCCTTGATAGCTTGACTTCCAATGTTATCAGATATGGATTCTAACTTAACTAATTGCCCTGATTTTGAAAAAATAGCATTTTCGATTAACACAACATGATTTTGGACATGTTCAAGTTGAACCGCTTTGACAATTCGAATAACATTTGGCTTGAAACATTCGATAGCTATGGTGAAACGTCTTAAAGCAGCAGCAAACATTGTGTAGACGCCAATGTTAGCACCGACATCAATAAATGATAAATGAGGATCACGAAGTAGTACACGAAAGAGTAAACTTAACTGTTGTTCTTCCCACATCCGAGTCGTCAAAACATTTCGACTGACAAATTCAGCAGAGGAATGTACACAAACAGTAGTTCGGACAATATTCAAGAGAGGCTTTGTTTATACACATGACACGTTGATTAGATGAGGCACCTATAGATCGACAATATCAACTCGAGAGGAACTGTATTCGGTTCCAAACAAATAATAGGTTCGTTTGCGAAAGATCTCTGTATAGATCAACACGATACCAATAGAAATCCCTATGCAAATGATCGTAGCAGGAACCACTCGTCTATTTAGAGTAGATTGTTTGACACCGTTGTTGTGACTCCTAAGATTGCGAAAGAAATTGATTTAAAAAAAAAATTTATTAATTACATCCTGAAGATTGATGCATAAACAATTATCAAAAGAAAATTTACTACGATAATCAGTTTAGCTCTTCCTCGTGATCAAAATCGTTGTCTGCTAAACATTAGTGTATAATTTTTGAAACGATGGATACTTTGTTAACATCAGAAAATAAATAACCTCTTGTTAATCTAGTTGTGTATCCAGGATTGTACTTAAGGATACAAAACTCTACTAGTTCATGAAAGAGTTGATCCCACCATTGACTACGAGGCAATCCTTTCGGTCACGTCACTATAATTGCCTTAAGTTGGCTCTCTAATTAACGGATTTAATTTAATCGCATTGGTTTCTTATGGAGTTTACAATGCATTGAGTGTTACAGACCTTGACATAGGAATCCAATACAGTTCATTAATCAGTGAGTTAGATCCAAGAACAAATCATTCGTGAAATGGATTAAATGTTGTTCTTCATTCAAAGACTTCGAAGTAAGTACAAACGATTTCATTGTTTTACACTAAATGTTGAGTTTTGAACCTTATTGCAATGGATTATAAGTGTGTCTACATATAGGTTTTAGCATATCACCAACCCACATATTCGTTTATTATTCTACAGTTAAACCCATAATATAATGGCATTGAAACATTTTGAGACCGTATGCTAACTCTTCTGAACGGGAATTTCTTTTTCAAATTGCAACTTGTTACCTTACGAAAGAAGAATTAGAGTATGGTCTCACAGTGTTTCTAGAGAACGGTATCATAACTTCTCAAGAAAAATTACTTTCAAGAAGCATCATATCAGCTTGTCACAAGCGCTAGAATCTGCACACAGACGCAGGTATAGTACATAACAACAAGGCGCGAAAATACAGCATACAATGTAAAACGACACGCCCTGTTCATGCTAACTTCGAACATCTTTACGGTGAATAACACTATTCGATTGGTTTTGGTAAATCATTCGCTCTTTGAACTTCTTCCGTCAATTATTGCCAACTGGAGTGTGACTTTATATCCTCTACTGAAACCTATTTATAAAGACGAATGAAAAGGTCTCTAAGTTGTCAATGTTTCAGATTGCTAAGTATGCAATTAATTAGGGTTTGAATATGAGCCAAAAACATTGCTAAGATACTTTCAGCTCTTTTGAGATCGATAACATTATCTTCAATGGTAGATATTAATAATAGTTGTGGAATAACTAAATCTTGGATTTTATTTTGATCGTCTTTGGGTCTGCTTTAATGGCACTACATGTGGTAAAATGAACCAGGACACCAAGTTCAGTCATTTCTTGTTTCAAATATCCAAACAAAAACTATTGTATCAATCTGAGTTTTGGCAAACTAGAGTAATGAAGGTTTTGCTACTTGGCAGTCATACATTCAATGATCACCACTCAGTCATAACTTGTCCTTGATATATATCTTACTCTTCGCAATGTAAGCCACTCGTCCAGTAGTATCGCCTTTCATACTGATATTAAATGTATCTTTCGTACCCAAAATACATGGATAAAGATGTTTTATAGATGTAATGCAGCGCTATTTGAATGTATTGCATTTGACGAATGGAGTAATTGTAGGAAACGACAGCATACTTGGTACGACATTAAAGAGTTAATTAGTTGAAATCTTCCACAATACTTCAACTGAAGGAAGACAAGCATATTTATATACTTCTTGGAACTTTCCATCCTTCTACAACTGTGTACGTGATCCTATATAGTTTACCATCTTTATTTTGCTCGAGATATAATAAGTAGGTATGGATCAACTCTAGCTCATAAGTTCAGATCAAATGAGTTAGTGAACTGTCGAAATATTCTTTTGAAAGAAAGTGATCTATATTAACAGTTTTCTGAATTGAGCTGTTCGAAAAATTATTGTTCCCAAAATAGAACAATTGTGTTCCGTTGCTGAAAATGTCTTTTTTCCGTAACAGTGCACAATTGTTTTGTTTGAAGAACACACATTTTTTGGACAATTCAATTTCGAGGACTGTTTCAAGACATCAGCTTTTCTTAGAAAAACCGTACAGACAGGTCACTTCCGTAGAATGGAAGTATTGCCGAACTGTGATGTCTCTAACAATAAGTCATATAATCAATCTTTCTTTAAACTATGTGTTGCTTTCATTACGAAAATTTCTAATAAATAATAAAAGTAGAATTCATAATACATAGATAACAGTGCTGGCCTTCTTTTTACTATTATTTATTTTGCAGTAAGATATCCAAAAAAGAAAAAGATCACTTTAGTTCTCTTGGTGACATTAACTCATAGAGAAAGAAAGGTAACATAAAGAGTGTTTCATAAGTTTCGACACCATTTTTATTTGTTTTGTATCTAGACTATGTTTGAAGCTGGATAGAAATTGAATATATACATGGATTTGAAGAGCAGCACATACACTATCATCCGAGAGAAATTAGGCTCAATTTCCACCAATTCAATGAAAACACTGCATTAATGAATATATCGAAAAGAAGATATCACAGTTATTTTTTTTTCCTAGGTAGTCGAATATTATCGAATTTTATTTATTCGTGACTGATAAATCTTATCTCCATCAGCACAAAAAGTAAATATTCTGAGGTTTTCACTATAGATGAATTGTAGCGAGATCTACCATATGTAATCACATTTCATTTATTTTGGTAAAGTCAAAGCGAAGTTATTCTCAAAAGATTGAAATTGCATAACGGCCAGTATTTCAAAATAAATGAAATGATCACGTATGATAGATCTAGCTACAATCCATCTATAATGAAAACTTCAGAGTATTTACTTTTGTGTTCATGGAGATAATGCTCATCAGTCACGAATAAATGAAATTCGATAATGTTAGATTTCGTAGAAAAGAAATAATTATGATATAATCTTTTCGATACATTCACCAATGCAATATTTTTATTGAGTTAATGCGAATTGAGCCTAATTTCTCTCGGATGAGAGTGTATGTGCTGCTCTTCAAATTCATATATATATATTCAATTTCTACCCAACTTCAAATATAGTCAAGATATGAAACAAATAAAAATATAATAAAAATGGTGTCGAAACTTATGAAACACTTTTTATGGGAAGAAAGCAAATTGGTCTCCATATATGTCAAAGTTAAAAGTTGAATTTCAAGTATTCAATTTGACGGCTAAACTCTCGATTTTCGAAATCTATAAAAATTTTATTGGAGATCGCTCATCATAATTTTTCAAAATTTGAAGTTATAAGCAGTCTTTCTATACATTACATTACAATTGGAAATACTTTTTGATCTTTAGTTGGATGGAGATCATCTTCAAAATTCAACATCTGTTTAACAAAAAAAAACAACAAAATTTTCTATCAATTGTGGACAGTATTGGAAACTCATAATCTATTTAGTTCTTGGTGTTTTACTTTTATTCAAATAAAAAATGACTCCTATCACTTAACTTACAATAGACATGAACTGTCTGTTTGACTACGTGTCAAAGCTTGCTATCTAACTATCCATACTGACTAAACTAACCTATATAACTATATATTCAACTGCGTTTCAAAAAGCAATGCATCCGAACGCGTTTCGACAATTTCGATGCATTTACAGGAGCATCCTGAGCAACGCATTTCTTTCGNTCGATCATTTTAACGATAAAATTCAGTAAAAAAGAATAGTTTTCTTTTTTACTATTTTCAAGTGCATATTTATGTTTTTATTTACATCTTTTAATCTTTATCAATAAATATACATGTATAAGCGATGGCAAAATACGTTCTTAAGAACGTAAAATAATAGAAGCTGAAAATAGAATAACATCTGTAGGATGCAACATTGTAGTTGCCCTATGCGACTTTTTTCTGTAGATCATCGGCTGTTGGATCATTTATTCCATTGTGTATAAATCTAATATAGTCAAGCCTGAAAGCTTAGCTTTTGGTTTACTTCTGCTTCTTTTTATTAACTAACTAAAAATGATCGCATTCAAGACTAAATCCGGAATGTCTACTCTTCTTACTAAACTATTTTTGTCATTTTCAAATATTTGAATATGCTCGATAAAAAGAAACAAATTTATGACACTTAATCTATCAATTCAGTATTCAAACATTTAAATATCATGAAAAAATATCGTTTATGATTTCTATTTACTTACATTTCTCACAATGTTCACCAGTATACATAAAATTACAAATACATATATATTTTGATATTAAATTTTTACATTTTCCATATTGACCACAACGTGTGTTATTATAACAACTATTTATTTCTAGAATAAAATTTTGATTAAAAATAATTTTTCTTTCATATGTAATAAATAACTTACTCATTTTACATATATAATGATCACTTCGTCGTTCTAAACGAAATTTTTCTTCTAATGATACACGTTTTGTTGCTTTACTTATATCAATAATTAAACAAGTATTTCTTGCTGGAAAATCTATCAATGGTTTATAAATTAATGAATATTCATTTATATTACTAATAAATAAATATTGTTGTTCAATAATTTTTTTTCGTAAATTTAATACTAAAAAGAAGAAAATTAAAAATTTTCTTTTTAAAAAAATTAAAAAAAACTTACGACGCCTGCCTTGAGTAAAATTAATAGCAATACGAGGACTATCATATGATTGAGTTTTAGTATATATTCGATTGAGAACAAAAGTAAATTCATCAATACTTTCCATATCCCATAATTTAGCATGTAATAGATGACAACGATGAGCCGCTAAAAATATTATCGTTTAACATTTAAATAATTAAATCTATTTCATAACTAAATCTTTAGATTGATAAAAAATTTTTATTAATTTATCATTTTCTTATTCTAGGCCTTGAAAAACAAAACTGCTAGCGCAATCCCTAAAGAATTAAAATGCGAAACACGACGTAGCTGTTGCTGTTGTCAATCATCAAAAAGATTGTTTTATTCAATCTATTTTTGGAACACACTTCTTCACCATCTTTTTACTTAATGCCTCAAAAATACAATAACGAATTAGCTCATAGAGTATAACGAGATATTATTGATATACGATCTGTTTCGGACGAAGAGATTGTTGCTGGGGTGTTTGTTACGGTGTGTAGGAACGGGGGATGACGAGAGTTGAAAGTTCTACCTCTGAACTTCAACACTTCTTTTTGATTGTATTTCAAAAAAGTCAGGGTAATTGGAAATCATTTAGCAAAAGAAAATTAAATATCTCTTCTATATTTTATCGTTGATATAGAAATAGTTGTAGCTCATATTCATTTAGGAGACATTGACAACAAAAAATGTTGATTTTGTTTCTATTGGATTCAATACACAAATATTGTCACGTGTACGAACTTCAAGTATTTAAACGTGATTAATATTGCTTTCTTATTTCTTTAGAATCAAAATATAATTTTTTGCTTTCGTTGAAAAAGAATATTTGACACTTCAAAATAGATTTTGTTAACTTTTTTCAAAGAATTTTTTACTAAAATCTGTATTGAAAAGGTCTATTAACATCAATGAAAAATAAATAGATTTGATGATGAAAGTTCTATGTGTATCGACTAAATATTTTATCGTACAACTATGCGAATAGTAAAATTTAGCTTTTTTGGTTAATTTTACCTAACGCTTCTTGCTTGCTAAACAATGTTTTAATAAAGGGTATCAGCTCAGCATTAAAATAATCCCAACTGCAATACTTTTACATTAAGATTTTAAAATAAAAGTATTCAGATTAGTCAGGAATATAAACTCGACTTTAGAATTTCATTAAATTAATATTAGCTACAATTGTTTTTTTATTAGAATCCTAATGCTAAGTTGATACCCCCAGATTTATTAAATAAGATAGCTCATCTGAGGGATATATAGAGTCTAAAATATTGTGCTCTGAAAACATGAATTGTACAATCATTTGTTGATAGCATCCAATTAACATGAAATTCAAGATGATTCGCAAAAAAAAAAGTTGAAAGATTTACAGAACTATTCAAATCACATGGGAAGATAAAGATAGTTCATCGGATGAAAATTTCCATGTGTATTTTGCATATGATAGAAAGAATAGGCTGTTAACAACTATTAGTTTCAATGGTTTTCTCAAACCAAGTTTTTTATGAAATAAAGTGCAAAAACTTCCCTGTCCCTTTGACCTAGTACATCCGATTGAGCTGAAATTTTTTTCACATATACTATACTCTGTTTGAGATGAGTAGAGTTTTTTATTGTTTCAATTCTGCTGATTTTCAGTATCTCCTACAACTTCAAGAAAAAACTAGCGAAAACAGTGTCTAGTGCCTGCAAAAAAATTTCAGTTCGATCGAACATTACATCTCGAAGAAACGAGGGAGATTGTAATCCCAGTATCTCATAGTAGACAACATTCAAAAACTTTGAGTCTATGACAATTTTTGCTCTACTCGTTAAAATCTACCTACCCTGAAAAATTTTAAATTTTTCTAAAGAGATGTGCCCTAGAAAAGAGGAACTTTTAATGTCATTCTAAGAAATTACGTAGTATGAGATTTGAATTATTAACTATAAAGTTATTTTTCTTTGTCCTCAGCATTTCATGCAATAGAACATTTTCTACATACTCTCGTTTCTTACCTTCATCAATAGATACATCATTAAATCGAACTTCCTTCGCATTGTCGATCTGTTTCGGTGGTAAATAAAAATAACAAGAACCATTATAAAAAAAGCTTCTCGGTGGACATACTATAAACATAAATAAATAAATTATTATTCCATAAAAATAAAAATGATTTTATACTAATAGAGAGATTATCGATTTTTTTAATAGCATCTTTAATTGCTTGTTTAAATCCTTGAAAAACAAAATATCAATAAAGAATGATTTTTAATGATAGATACATATACAAGAAAGACGTACGTATGCCTAATTCTCTTGTATCTCCTTCATCAGGTATAACATTAAATGCAATGATATGATGATGAAATAAACAAAGTATGATCAAAACACTTGCCAACATAGTTAATCTAAAAAGAAGTAAAGCAACAATAAGCATCTATACAAAAAAAAATTCAAAAACAAAAGAATACATTTTTCTTAAAATAACGAAAGACATTGTCAATTCATTGGCTTCATCATTACTCAACAGACAGACATTGTAATGTCTATCTCATTCATTCGGCATTATCAGTCTTCTTCTTTAAAAAAAAAAAAAAAAAAAAAAAAAAAGAAAGATAATAAATCCTAGTGATGCATCGATTGTTTATATTATTAGACAGAATTCAACTCTATCATATATTAACTGATAAACATAAGAAAATAAAATCTACACATTTCACTTATTTTTAATATATTTATCATATGAACATACCTCTACTCAGAATATCCTATGTACATAAAATTCTTTATTCAAGGTAGCAACATAATAATCAATATGATACAAACCATCTAACCTAAATCATTGTATNAATCTGAACTCAATTCCTGTGATTTCTAAAGATATTATATCACTCTGAGAGTAGAGTCAGTGGTCACCGGATAGGGTCGCGTACAGTATGGTCCATGCTAACTTAGCACGCCTGTATTTTCTCCTTGCAATTTAGTGATAAAAAACACAGTGAATATACCTTTTCACTTTTTGAAGTACACATAACACTCGGATTTAAATCCGAGGTTTTCGCATTTATTTATTATTGATTTTGCTACTGTTTCATTGGTTTTAGATAACATGGTGATAGTTAACATAAATAATATATATTTTAATTGATGTGACGTCATGTTTTTATGCATTAATGAACTAATACTTAAGTATAATTCATTTGTTAAACAAGTTAAGAATATAATTATTTTGACATTATCTGGATGAAGGAGTTTAGTAAAAGAACGTTCGTCGAGTTCAAGGAGGCAATCAACATGAATATGATCAATGAGTTTAAAAATAATATCATCGTTTTTAATAATATTAAATAGTATCTCAATATATAGTGAAATAATATAGTGAAATTGAATTGAACGAATGTAAATAGAAATTTTCGATTTAAATATGTAGATTGTTTATGTATTTTTAAGAGATCCATTTCGCATTCCGTACAATTATCAATGAAATGGAATTTACATCTGTTCTAGCTAAATGATACAAAACAAAAATCCATGATTTCATTTGAATTTATAGCCAATAGAAAATGAAAACACTAAAGAAAATAAACGGCAAATTAGCAAATAAATTATGAATATTTGTTAAAAATAATCGGAAATACACGTTCAACACGAAAAAAATTATTTTCTAGTCAAATTAGGAGTCATATCGGTTCATTTTTGAACGTTCTCTGATGAGAAAAATCAAAAAAATAGTTGGCAAGGGCGAGGCAGTCATTACCATGGCTCACCCTATCATTCCGTCACTATCATAAAAATTTTTTGTTTATTATATTAGGTTATCTGTATCGCATTTTAGTCGCTTTTTGTTCAAGACTAAGAACTATTAGTTATAAAAAAATTTTGAATTTCTAGTATTGTTCTATGTTTCGAATCTTCATTAATACAATCCGTAATAAGAGTCGAATAGACAAATAGATGTGATGATCTTAATTGAATATCTTATTCTGTCATGTTTTCTCTTGACAGTATCTCCAACAGTTCAAGACATTTGGAATACATTAGATAATCTTTAGAAACTTACTCTTTGAACGTTTATACATATGCGCAGTTTCTTCAAAGTAATTGAGCATAATGTTCTTATAGTGATAAAGATAACAGTAGAAGTAAATAAAATAATCAATTAGATTTTTTTATAAGTTATTTCCCATCTAATTGAATTCTTTTGGGTAAAGGAAGTATTTTTTAAGTACAATATCGAAAAATAAGCGTATTTTCAAACTAATCTTTTCTCATTAATGTCAGATCTACTGAATTTTTTTTTTTGAAAACGAAAAATCTAGAGAATAAAATAATCCAACAGGTACTTTCATTCTTTCCAGAATCAAATCAGTATCGTTAAATGTTGCAAGATTTTCAAAGGCACAAAATATTTTCCTTTGAGTAGGACGTAAGAAATCTCAACTGCACTTCTCATATGGAAAAGTACTCTCTAAGTCATTTGCAATAGTACATTCATCAAAATTTTGAAGAAAATAGCATGTCTTTTTGCAATCTAACATATCTCTTATGATTAAAGATGTGCCAGACCAAAGTCTTTTCGTTCCGACAACTTCTTTTCTAGTGATGTTGGCCTTCATTCCGGTGAAGAGTAAACTATTTCAGAATTTATTTATATAATATCTAAAAATAATTCTCGAATACTTCCCTTTTTTTTATTGCTTGACGGCTAACACTTTTTTCTGGATCATTTCTCTTGAATTATGTTCCGATCCATATGATTCATAAGATAGTTTGCTTAAAATAATAGAATATTTTACTATAGACTTGAGTCTAGCTTCCGACACTTTTCGTTTCTTGTAGCCTCGATCTCAGCAACTTCTCTTTCCCATGATCATGCACATTTCTACTCAGAATTCATTGCTTTACATAAAAATCTCGTTGGTTAAAGTAAATTCTATTCGATAGTTGTCAACCTTTTTTTTAAAGCATGATTTATGAAACACAAACAATTGCTTTTCTCATTACGCACGACACTAAATAGAAGTCGATTTGATATGAAATCAACTTGGATATTTTTGGATGACACATTATTATAAGAACGTTTTTAGTGATTTCCAAAACGATACTTTTTTTTTCATGTACAATTTATTGATTGACTTCATTTCTTAAAAAAAAACATTTATTTTTCTTTCTTTATATAAAAAAGAATTCTTGTGTTATGGATAATTTTGTGACACTCAGTGTCTAAAAGAAAACTGTTCAGTTTAGTTGGTAACATTAGCCTTAATAAATGGATTATAAAATGTTAAATAAGCTTGTAAAATTTTTGATAATGAATTTAATTTTACAATATCATTTGGATATGTTCGAATTTCTTTTTTAATTTTAATTCGACAAATAGTTTTTAAAGTGAGTGTTTGTGTACGTAATTCACTTAATTTACTTTTAATTTGTGCCATTTGTAAAAGTGAATTTTGTGTATCTACTAATAGTTGTTGATCTAATTCATATGTTGGTGATGATGATGATGACGATGAAGATAAAAATGTGTTATCAAGACGAAGATTTGGACGAAATATCAGTTTATCTAATGGTATTTCACCATTTTCAATCATTGATACTAAATAACGTTCAAGACGTTTTTGGATTGTTTGTTGTGTAAGATTTGTATTACGCTGTTCACATGCACGTAAAACATCATAAAATAAAAATATACACCATGATAATGGTCGTATTTTTGGATCAAACACATCTTTAAGACGATATTTGAATAAAAATTCTTTACATGCTAATATATCAAATAATTTATATTGCTTTTTAGCAAGTAAATTTGGTTCACGCATACCATATCGTGTTAATTTACTTTCTTTACGTAATAATAATAAATGTAAACGACGCAATCGTGATAGATTTGCTTGTTCATATGTTGATAAATACGCAAGATCAAGTGGTGTACCACCAGATTGATTTCGAATATTTAAACATGAATCAGGTGAACTATTAATAATAAATTCAAAAACAGGATCAGTTATTGCTGATTGACATGCAATATGAAGACATGTTTGACCATTATTATCTTGTAAATCAAAAAGTGCACCATGTTTTATTAAAACGTCAAGCATGGGTATTGAATAATTTTTACTTATAAATATTGAAAGTGGTGTTTGATTATTATATTTTGCTAATCGTTCATTGATATCAAAACCATATTTACACATTAATTCTAATTCTTTCATATGAATTGGTTCGTAAAAATGAAGGTCTAAATGTAAATATAGATTGAATAACAATTGAAAACAACAATTTTGATTGGGAGAAAACGATTTAGCGTATTTTATTTCGGTAGAATAAGTTACAATCTTTTTAGTTTTTTCAAGATGATTCTTGATCTTGTTAGCTATTGGAACTAATCTAGTTTTGTATATTGCTTCTTTGAAAAGGTTCATTTCGAGATGGTATACATTGAATAATTTCTACTATAGCGAGCATTACTTTTCTTCATAGTTATCCCAGTTTAAAAACATCTAATCGCCTCAAAAGTATCCTTGCGTACATACGTAATCCTCTAGAGTGATGAAAATCTTCCACAGCTAACAATTTTGATAAAACTCCTGATTCTTAATCTATAAGAAAACAGATTGTAATCAATGAACTCATTATAAATCGTCAACAATTTTGATTGTGTGAATTTCGTAAGTTTAGCTTAGTAAAAATATTCACATTGTAAAAATCTCGATTTTAAGATTTTCGTTCATATGCTTGCATTTTAAAGAATATTTCATAAATTCCTAAAAAAGTTAATAAATCTTTTATAAAAATTTTTTTTCGGTTACAAGAAAAATATTTTCGTTACAATATCATGTACTAAAATTCTATATATTCAGTTGATATGATTTTAATATTAATGATTTAATCAATTTTTATGACCTAAACTACTTCTGTTTAATGACCTTCATTTTCTAGTATTCCATCAATATGAGATTTACTTACAAGGAAAATACCCGAACTAAAACTTACTGCCGTTTGTACTCATATTGAGTTCACAAGGTGATTTTAATAATACTAGACGAATGCTAAAAAGGTTTGTGTTCATAGACCTCTAGAGATAAGAAATGATCGTTTTACCGAATTTTCAATTCAGCGGTAGGTATTTGCCGAAAAATCAAAATAATGAACTTTTAACTTTAAATTTTGCCTATAGATAGGTCTCATGACTCTGGGAATATTCTAAAGGTTTCAGTCAAAAAGATTGTTTCTATGTCACGATATTGAATTTTCAAAAAATAGTGGTTTGCCACAAAATTCTAGTTTACTTGAAAATTCAGTATCTCGACAAAGGGACATTCTTTTTGACTGAAAATTTCAAGACATTCTTGAAGTCATCAGATCTATATATTTTCGAAATTTCAGATTAAAATTCAGTAAAAACCTCATAACTCGACTTCAGAAGCGTGTGAA